CCTGCTGAAAGTAGAGCCAGGGCAGAGAAAAAGTGAAGTAATAAGGAATCCTAGGTTTTAGACTCCTTGTGTTTTGCCCTTAGGGGGAGGTATTTGACTGTTCTGCTTTGAATTGGGGACACTGCTCTTCCCATAGTGGAAACGTTCTCCACCATTGGTGAAGTCTTACGTTGTCATAGGGTGGGCAATGCTGAGTGACCCCCATGCTCCTTTCTTTCAAGTGAATGTTATTTGCTGAATGTCAAATTGATTCTCTTTGGGTTGAGCAGAAAACTTGAAGAGAAATGAATGAACATTTTCCAGTGAGATGAAGAATTAAAAGTAGTTCCTTGTGCCAGAGTCCCAGCTGAATTTCATCAGAAACAAACATGTGTTTGGTATGCTTTTCACAGATGATGAAAGTAACAGTCTCATTCCCATCATCAAGAAGAGAGCGTTTATTGCCAGCTTAGAATCACTATGAAGATATTTCAGTGTATTAGAGTGTTAATGGTTCTACAGAGCTGGAAAACCTTCTGCTTATCTTCAAATTGTCCATAGGTTTATGGCTTTGATTAGACGTGTAGAGGTTGACTGGATTTTAGTTGTGGGCAAAAAATTGCTTAATACCTTAATTTCATGGGCCGTAACACTACATTGTCTTACTGCAATTACATTACAAGAAAGTGATCTTGAATAAACCTGAGCGCATCTGACTTGATAAAAGTGGATAATAACTGATCAGTAAAATCGCCAATTTTGAAAACAGATATATGACACAGTAAATATCCCTCTTTGCTTTGTACTTTCTGCAGTACTAGCCACTCTAATTTTTTATCATGAGACATGAGTATAGTGACATCTCTTGAGGTCATTTAGGTATTAGCTTTCACAATACAATTTAAACTTTCATGAATTCATGAAATCTGGGAAATGTTACTGAAACTCGGGACAGCAGTTTAGCTATTGCAAACTAAGTGAACAGTATCCACTTTTTTTTTTTTTTTTTTTTTTTTTTTTAAATGTGCTTGCTTGTTTCTTTTGAAACAGATCTCTGAGGAGGCTGAGCTGAGTTGGGTAGCTCCTCATTCTCCCAATGAGTTACCCTTGTGGGAATTTGCTCCTCAGGGCAACAGTAACTATAATCAGGATTTCCAGATTTAATTTTTCTTAAACTTTGGGTGCTTACATGTTGCCATGAAGGCCAAGTTCATGTTTAAAAAGCTCTGTTCAGAGGAGACTTATGTGGTGCCAGTACAAAAATTACTTCTAGGTGATAATGGCAAAGATTATTTATTGCAAGTGGTATGTGCAGTGTTAGATCTGTCTTGAGCAGAGACCAGACATTTTGTGGGGTGAATTAATGTTGCATATGTGATCTTGCAGTTTTCAGGGAATAAAGAAAAGCTGAAAACAGCATGCAAATTTTTCCTTTCCGAACAAAGTCTTTAAATATTTTGGAGATAGTTTACTTTCTTTGTAATTGGACTGTGAATGTATGCATGTTCACCACATCAACTGAAACTGCCTATATTCTATTTTTAGTGGATTTCTTAGTAAAGAAGGTATAGCAGGTAGGAATAGAGTATCTCATTACATTATATTGTTACCCAGTTGACTTGTGTTTACATGCACAGCTCGCAAAATATTAAGAAGCCCACTGTGATAGCTTTGGAAGAGTGACACCATACAAAAAATCAACAATACTTTATTGCAGCTATCTAAGGGGAAAATTCCTGTCTGCTTTCATCTTTAAATCCTCAACAGAAGAAAGCTATTTCAGCTGGCTCCACACTTGCGTAGTTAAAGTAAGGGCAGCTGCAGTTTCCCCGCAGTCCCAGGATCAAGGTGCTGTCCTTCCGGTTTTTAGATGTTGCTCTCTAAATAGTAGAATTGAAATGTTACAACATGTGTTGCAGTCTCAAGCTGCTAAGTAATTTCATTATGTTTAATTAGCAGGCAAAAAGCCATGGAAGGAATGTTTACTTCAAACGGGAGGAGGGTTAGACATGAGCCAGCAGAAATGTTCAAGTCCACCTGTTGTCTAGAAAAGCTTCCTATGTATGTAAAGAAATTTGTAAAAAAAGCTCCTCGCTCCTCCACTTTTCCTAGATCAATGAAACAATCCCTTACTGCTGCATGTTACAGGCAAAATTCATGTGGGGTTTTTTCATTACAAAGAATTTAAAACTCTCTTTAATCAAACCATGTGAATTAAGAACATGAGGAATTAAGAACAAATTATTCAAAACATGTAACCCCATAGCATATCATTAATAAAGGTGACATTATTCAGTGGATACAACCAACAGGGCAGTTTTGTGAGCCAAAGCATGAAAAATGCCTGAAAAGACTGCAAATTGTCAGTAATTCCTCAAAACCAGATATATTCCCTGCCTGACTTTACAAGTAGCTCGGGATTCTTATAAGTAATCTCCTGCCACTTGTAGATTAGGCAAATAGTTATGCTGGTGTTCAAATACATTGTTTTGATTTATGTTTGTTTTCTGTGTTGTAGCCAGAAGACAAAGACACACAGAACCGTACTGACAAATCACTTTCAGGTAATATGTCAGTTTTACTGTTCTACGTATTTTATTTCTAGATTTTCTTTGAAAATACTTTTTAAAAATTGCTATTTGTCGTAACCGAGAACTGCCTGGGTAATCAATGCTTCTGGAGCTCATTTTATTACCAATGTCATTTACAGCTTTCTCTTTGTTCTAAAGGGGGTGGTGATCAATAATGCAGACCATATAAAATGTGTAAGCTGGGCTTTCCAAATGCATCTAGTACATCCCTCACCTTTGGAAGAAATGTGTAAACAGCAGAAGCTGGCAGTAGGCTGTGGGGGCTTATCCCATAATTGTATGAGCTCAGCTGGCGTTGGGGGTGTGTGGATGATATACAGCCCTGTTAATCTAACAGTGAACAACTGAGAATTTCCTGTTAGTAAAGAAGCTTGTCCTGTCATGTAGCATTAGGATCATGCAATTAGGTGGGTGGGTCTTCATTTGCTCATCAGTATCTAACACAGGGCATCTTAGAAAAGCAAGATTCTTTATAATGCTTTTGATAGTCTGCACATAGTATAGCACAACAAGCAGGTTGGTTCAGTTTTGTTTACCTACAACTGTGCCCTGTGTTTTCTTTACCCCTTCTTCCCTTCTTCTATTGGAGGATAAAACTTACTCTGGCACCCTTGCAAAGCAAAATAAGATGAAATTCAGATAGGGTGCTCTCGTGCCTGTTGAGTTCAGGCAGAACTTTGATTGAATTACATTCATTTTGCCTTGTTTGTGTAACTAAATCTTGGTATGACTGAAGCCAGCAAAGTGTCTCACTTCAGCAAGAGTTTAGGGTGCACAAGAACAGAATAGTTCACTTACATATTTCTGTAGAGAACAGCTGCAAGGCCTGTGGAATACCTGTGAGCAAAGATGTCACCAGAACATGTTTCCCCTTAACAGGGAATCTAAGCATTTCTGTGAAGTTATGTGTCTGCAGCAGTGTTGTTGCTGCACGTCCTAACTTGTTGGAAACTTCAGAAGTTGTCTTTGGCCTGCTAAAAAAGCAAGCTGATGAGCAACATTACAAAAATAACAATAGCCTCTTCTTCCCTTAAAACCAAAAAAAACCCAAAGTGCATGCAGAAGCTACATTCAGCTGAGTTGCTTTTATCAGCACTAATATTCAGAATAAAAAAAAATAAATCACAATTTGATGATCTTTCTGGAATTTTCACACGATCTGACAATAATTACTGCAAATGAAAAAAACAAAACAAAAAACCCAAAAAAACCAAAACAAAAAACCCAAACAAAAAAACTCCAACCTTAACAGATGCAGTTGTCTGCGTGAGTAGGTGGCACTGAGTACCAGGTTTGCCCTTTGCCAGAGATATAGTTCAAGTCTCTTAGACCAGCACTGATCCACCACTTGTAACTTGTGTCACTGTTTTCTGTTTTTGTTTTTAATTAATCTTTTGATTAATATCTGTTTTCTTATTTTAGTGTCCCTTTTTTTAAGAGTTTCATCCCAAGTAGGAGCAGTTATTTCCCTATTTCAAGCTGTACAATGAGGCTGGAGGGCAGAATCTTTAGAAGGTGGTTCTAGGCTGCATCCATTATTTACTACTCTTTGGACACACCAAATTCTCCCTGCCTTCAAAAAGGAACAGGGAGAGTTAAGGTCATGTCTGCAGCCAAAATGCTCAAACAATGGCCTACACCACTGCAATGTTAAAGATCTTAGTATTTACCTAGAAGTATGACTAGAACTGGTTTCTACGTGTTTTTATGGGTTATTAATATATAATAATAACCTGACCTAGTGGAGGGTGTCCCTGCCTATGGCAGGGGGGTTGGAACTAGATGATCTTTAAGGTCCCTTCCAACCCAAACCATTCCATGATTCTATGATATAATATAGTCTGATAGCACCACATCGTTCACAATGCTGGGGAGATACTGACTGTTGTGTGTGGGAGACCTCTAAATGGCAATTTTCGGTATTTGATGCAGGTTTTTATCACCACCTACTTCCAGCAACTTGGTATTTTTATTTTTCTCACACATGGAGGAGTGTGCACTTTATTCCTTTCCATAATGTATATTTAAAATAGGTTTGTTTGGTAGAGCAGGGACAGCTTTTATTGTAAGAGACCTTACAAAGCAAAGGAACATTTTCCACTTCTTCATTGTGTTAAAGTACTAGATGTTAGTTGTGTTTGCACCTGTCAGCAGAGATTCTCCTAGTGCAAATATTTCGTGTTGTTATGAAGGCAGCAGCTCAGAAGTGCAAAACCTTTTCCTTCATCCTACAACACAGGTATACAAGATGCATATAATGTGCACGTAATCCTGTTGGTGATGTAAGCAGGGGTTATGGCAGATTTGAGGAAGCAACGTAGTTCTCAAAACCAAAAAAGAAGAATATCCCAGCTTACACATTGGATTTAATTGCGTGCCTTTTCTAGAAAAGCATAAATATGGTACTTTTGAAATTACTGTTCTTTTGATTATAGCCACTGAGCGTAGTGAAGAGACACATCTTAGAAAGTTAATTTCATGAGTACTTCTTAAGGAAAGGCATTAACATGTCACTATTCTTTTAACTTTTTATTCCCAGTGAAACCACAGCAGTAGATCCTAACTTCTCCCCATGTAATGGTTTTCACTGCAGATCTCAAGAAAACCTGCAAGGAAAACGGCACCTGCTCCTTGTGCTTATTCCGTGCACCAACCATCAGTGACATGCTCAATGATGAGGACTTGTTGTACACAGTGAGGCTAAAGCTGGATCCCTGCCACCCAACAGTGAAAAACTGGAGAAATTTAGCAAGCAAGTGGGGGATGACTTATGATGAATTGTGTTTCCTTGAACAGAAGCCCCAAAGTCCCACCTTGGAGTTCTTGCTACGCAATAGTGACAGGACTGTGGAGCAGCTGATTGATCTCTGTAAATTTTATAAGAGAATTGATGTTGTGAAAGTGCTGCTGAAATGGGTGGAGGAGGAATGGCCTAAGAGAGGGAACAAAACTTACCAGAATGACTTCTAGGGCAAAGGAAGTTGTTAGTCCGTACGTGTTAAATGCTGGGACTGGCTGCCACTAATACGTGGGAAGTTTCCCTTGCAAGAGAGAGAGCCTGTACTGACGGTTTGTATACTGTGTAAGCTTTATGTACTGTATACACAAACATATGTTCTGTGCCCTCAGAGTTGCAAAGATAACCTTCCAAAAGTGGATGGAATAATGCAAGTTGTGTTCTTGATCCTACAAATGCCTTCAGTTTCTTTGCTGCTGTTTGTAGGCTTCCTAAGCAGAAGAGGAATGAAAAAGCCAGACCACTGATTTTACCGCAGCAGTTGTGAACCATGTCAGTTGTGTGCTGTTGCTATTGGGAAAGCCACAATTAGAAGGCAAGTCTCTTGGCCTCTAGGCCTTTCTGGCAGCCCTTCCACAATTTTATATGTTCTACCTAGTAGAAGATGAGGGGTTATTTTTTTTTTTTGTCTTTTTTTTTTGTCTTTTTTTTAAGTTTTATGACACTGTTTTTGGCACAGGAACACCTCAGTGCTCCAAGCAGCAGTTTGGATTTGCCTGTTACAATTGATTCAGTGTTTCAACATCACACTCAGGCAAATTAAGCTTTAAATCTCTTTTGTAAACAAGAATTGATGTTAAACAAAATAATTATTTGCATACTTCTTCATCATAGGGTATAAATTTCTTACAGAAGAAATCATGCAGTTCAGAGAGACTTTTCAGCCCATAACAACTAAGGACCAAAAAAAACAATTAAAATGCTTTATACTTAAAATTAGTTTCCAAAGTTCTGAAGAAAATACACACTGAGTGCACTTATCTGTTTATCTCAAATGCCTCTCGCTTTGCAGTGTGAGGTGACAGCTAATGCCTCACCTACAGTATATCCTTAGTATTGACTATAACTTCCCTTTTCACAGGCTGTGGGTTTTTTTACAGTCCCATCGGCTGACCTAGTTTGTCCCACACCACAGTAGTTGCACACTTGCATGAAACTAGCACAAGTTTAAGTATTGATTGAAGCCACTCTAATGGGAAATTAACAGCTGAATTAATCTGCAGTCCAGGTGGATGGTTATTAAAGCACTTATAGGGGTTTAGACTGATGTTTCTCAAAGAATTTTGATACTCTGAATTACGCTGTTTACATTTTAAATATTTTAGAAATTGGTCTTTTCCCTACCATTCTTCTGTGTTCTAATGTTTAAAAAAAAATCCTGAAAAAATCCATTACACAATATGATGTATAAAATACTTATAGCTGTAATGCCATACACAAAAACGTTGTGACTTAAAATTACTTCTAGTTGTTACCCTTTCTAAAAGCATCTCAGGCAATACTAATATGTACATAGGTCTATATACCAAAGCACTGGTGAACAGTATGTCAAGATGTGGGGCAAAACTAGAATAGGGTACAGGTTGGTGCACTGTTTACTTTTCTCGAGTAGAAATAACTTAAGAATTAGCAGCAAAGCTGAGGGAAGTCTAATGCTGTATACCGAGTTTCTTCATGTAAGAGAATGAAAAGGGACCTCTGGTAATACTATACTGTAGATACTGAGTGATATGGTTATGGAGGAGCTAGAAGTAAAGACTAACGTTTTCAATGTCAGGCACTAGTTCTGAGGTGATATAAATTAGCTTTATTTTAGTGACTTAAGAAGATGAAGATCTAGTTTAAAGGTGAAAAGAGTGACCTAAATTTGACGCTTGAATTAAAAGCTTATGGAAGACTGGAATTTTTAATAACTCTTTTTTTAAAAAAACATTCCTCAAAAAAGCTGCTACTCTTTAGAACAGTAAGTTTTCTAGCCATATTTTAAAGAGGAAATTGTACTGTCTTATCTTGTTGGGGCTGCAGTTCAAATGTCTCATGTTGTTCTTCTAGGAACAGGGGTTTCCCGATAGAGGTCTGTCAACAGGAGCAACTTTTTACAAGGGCATGTAGTGATAGGACAAGGGGTAATGGCTTTAAACTGAAAGATGGTAGACTTAGATTAGATATTAGGAAGAAATTATTTACTGTGAGGGTGGTGAGGCACTGGAACAGGTTGCCCAGAGAAGCTGTGGCTGCCCCCTCCCTGGCAGTGTTCAAGGCCAGGTTGGATGGGGCTTTGGGTGACCTGGTCTAGTGGAGGGTGTCCCTGCCCATGGCAGGGGGGTTGGAACTAGATGGTCTTTAAGGTCCCTTCCAACCCAAACCATTCTGTGATTCTATGAACTCTAACTTTTCCAAATAATCTTCTGTCTTTAGTTAGGAGCTGTAGAATCAGCTTTGAGGACTACTGTGGTGGCTGGGCTGCCTGCTATTTTCACTTCCTACAGAGGCATCCACTGTGTACATGCAAATAGCTGTTAATGCCGCTTGTCCAACATAGTTGCCATACCTTGAGCCTACAATATGCATGATTTACAATCATGCGTCGTTGTGTTAAGTTGTTCTTCAGAGTGATAAGTGCTGGCATGTATGCCAACAGCTTTTCTCCTCCGTAACATAACATGCTATATATATGTGTGTGGTATTATAGTATGCTCTGCTTTGGTAGATCCAGTCCAGCAAGGAGCTGGAGCCCTCACCTAAGAGTCACAATGGGAACATGAAATGATGCAGCAGCATTTCTGAATCAAGATGTTAAACTGAAATCTATCTTGCTAAAACTTGTAAAATTTTGAAAAAACACTGTTGTCCCACGGAAATCAGTTCTGATCCCTTGAAGCTCTTGAAAAGTCAATGTCAGCTGCAAGGATTCATGTCTGATGGAAATAAAGCTGCTTCTGAGAGTTCATATGTGGATTCTGTACAAATTCAGCACTGAAGGTTGAAAATGTTAGCCTTAAACTTCACCACACACTGGATTACTCATTAGTATACTTGAAATATTTTTTTCTCTTTGTATGGCATGAATTGAAATGTACACACTTTTTTAGTTTTATGTCTGTTTACAAGATATTGGGGTCTGAGTGTTCAGTTTATTCTTATATCTTCTGTTATGTATACTATTTTTAGAAGAAATATAGATTGTTGATGTTTGACTTATTGTATTTGTTTGTATTACAGCTAGGAAAACAGCTGTTTTCCTTCTCACCAGTCACCTTGGAACTACTGAACTGTCAACTAGTTGTGCTATGTAAAAAACAAACAAAAAAACCCCCCATCATGTATGCAAGACTCATGGCGTCTTAAAGCACCTATGTTTGCAACAGATACTGCTGTTCAAGAAAGGAAGATGCATGTGTTTTATCTTTTCCATACAAAAAATGAGTTAATTTTGATAAGATGATGAACAAAGATGTTTATCTAGAAACTTGCAGTGGTTACTAACTATAGAGAGGTATGAAACCTACGCTGGGTGAACTTTTCCTGAATTAATAACCAATCTGATAATGAAGGTTAGAGAATCATGTGGACACTGAAAAGGCTCTGCTAGACTATCAGTTTTGTTCCATTGTATCTTTCTCCTATTCCTATATGAGACCTGCTGTCCCTTCAGTGAGAGGCTCCCTTTGGCTGCCATCTCTGTGCCTGCAGGATAATCAGTGGCCCTTCCCACCCACTTTAGCTTCTATGAAGATGTCCAAACCACTATACTCTTTCATTCCTGCAGGTTTATCTAAGACATGGGGAGCCTAACAACTGTTCTGCAACCGCAAAGGTGCAGTCCTGTACTCCAGGAGCCCCTAGTTTTGCTGTGAGGTCAGCTATGGGGCATCCCCAGCAAAATGGTGACAGTGTTCAGTTGCCTTACTTGCTGCTTGCACTTCCCTTTGGTCTGTGGCAAGGAATGCAAGACAGATTTGGGACTGTCCTTTGGAAACCTACCATAAAAGGGTAGTTAGCATGGCCCAAGGTGCTCGCTTGGAAGTTGTACAGAAACTGTAAACCATACTTCTTCCTGAATCACTACTGAATAACAAGGAGCCATAGCTCAGCCTGGGCAGCGCTTTGCTGTCTCAAACTGACTGCCTCCCACAGTTCCAAGTCAAGCTATGAGGAACTGGAAAAAAATGTAAATTCTGCTTTATAGTGATTTAAATTAGGGTAACACTGTTGACTTGTGGCCAGACATAGCTGGAAATTATTTGTCAGCAGAAAGGTCAAAGAAAGTGCATGGCATTTATAATAATTTAAAGAGCAGCCTACTTCCGTAATTTTGCAGCATATTATGTTCTTCTGTCCATGAAAGAAAAGCAGTTAGTTATTCATAACTAATTTCAATATATCTTGTATGTCTTGAGTTTTGGGTCAGTTTTGGACAGTAGGACAGAGCACCATTAAATGAGTACCTGTGCTTGTTGCCTGTTTTGACAGAAAAGTGCTTTTCCTAGCCCCTGAGCTCAGCTAGTCCTAAGTGCATGGCTATGGCCAGTTGTTGGCCTTAGCTGGGTAGGGAAGGTATGGATCTACTGGTCAGACAGGCTGAATACAAGCAGTACTAGGAAGAATTTATTTGGAAAGGTGGAGTCTGTAGTATTTGCCTGAACCTTGGCCAAGGACTGGGATTGACTCCATCTTACAAGAAGCTAATGGCAAAGAGGAGTTGACAGACTTGGGAAAGGCCTGCCTGTACCCTCTGTTGGGGACAATGAGGGGCAATTAACCAGCCAGGCAGATGTACTACTTGGTTTGATCTCTGTATTTTACCTTTAAAATGGTGATTCTTGGTTTCAAAGGCAAGTCGTTGGGGTAAATGTATATTTGTTACTGTAGAAATGAGAGTCACATGAGAATCTTAAATGTGAGAAAGATAAAGCAGTGCAAGTCTTGTTAGGATGGGATCAACAAGTTTGGCTTTGGCCTTTTTGAACTCCGACATGAGAGAGTATTGGTGTGTTGGGTTTGTTCAGGCTTTGTTTACTGGCCTTCACGGTGCTATGGAAATGACAATTAAAATTGGAGATGAGATGAGAAAGAGGTAGTTTCTGTCAGAAATAATTGGCGAGAAGTAATGTCTATGGTGTTAACTTTATCTTTCCTCTGATGTACGTACAGAAAAGTTTCCTTGACTGAAAATCTTAGTTATTTACAGCTGCATCTTTCAACTTTTTTTTGAGAAAATTCCAGAAACAAGGCCAAATGTCTTAGTAACTGTTGTGGCTTAACCCGGCAGGCAGCTAAAACAACCACACAGCTGTTTGCTCACTCCCCCACCCTAGTGGGATGGAGGACAGAACTGAAAAAAAAGTAGAACTCATGGGCTGAGATAAAAACAGTTTAATAGGACAGAAAAGGGAATAATTATAATAATGATAAAAGAATATATAAAACAAGTGATATACAACATAGTTGATCACCACCCGGAACAGATGCTCAGCTAGTTCCTGAGCTGAACTGCCTCCCAGCCAGCTACCCCAGCTATATACTGAGCATGATGTCCTATGGTATGGAACATCCCTTTGGCCAGTTTGGGTCAGCTGCCCTGGCTGTGCCCCCTCCCAGCTTC